TCTTTCCACATCCTGATCTATACTTTATTACTATGCAAGTAATCAGATATAATAGCTTTGTCAGCCAAATTCAGCCTCGTATTTTGAAAATGATGGAAAACACTTATGCTGAGGTTTAACTGGTTCATATATTGCAAAAGAGGTTTCAGGGGGTTTTGTCCTCAGTTACTCCTATCCTTTTGTATTTTGAAGTCAGCATTTTCTTTTCCTTGAGCAAAAAACATACATGTAATTATATATCCATTACAGCACCCGGTACTTTCCCCCGTAAGGTTCTAACCTAGTTTTACAATATACTCATTACACAACAGAAAGGAAGGGCAGTCATATACTAAAAAATCAGAGTTGTGCATAAACCAGAGGAATTGTGACTAACTTGGCTCTGACCATTTGGAGCCCTCCTGATTTGAGTCAAGACTGAATGTGAATCTCTTGGTTCAGTTTGGAACCAAGTCTTCATGACTCTTAATGTATATAACTGAAAGGAAACAAATGGCTGGCTTTTGTTCGACTGGAATAAAATTTCCAGACACTGTAGCAAGGGGAGCATTGAATAGAACATTTGAGACACATTGTTATTACACAAAATGTTCAAAAATCTTGGCAAGATTGAGGGGGATTGTCAAGACAGTTTGCCATCCTAAAGGATAGCCATAGTTTAGGGTCCAGGGAGCTCTGAGAAAGTATGGTGGCATCTCCTTCTCTGGAGGTTTTTAAACTGAGTCTAGAACAGTGGTTCTCAACCTGTGGGTCTGCAAGTGTTTTGGTCTACAAATCCCAGCCAGTTTACCAGCTGTTAGGATTTCTGGGAGTTGAAGGCCAAAACATCTGATGATCCATAGGTTGAGAAACATTGGTCACTGTTGGGAATGCCTAGATCATGTGTTTCTGCATGACAGAATGGGGTTGGACCTGATGGCCCTTGTGGTTTCTTCCCACTCTATGATTCTAAGAGAATGCTTTAATATATGGGGAGAGAAGTTGTTTTTCTAGTCTTCCTGGTGTTTTGGATATCAGCTCCCAGCATCCTTGATCACTGGGCGAAGGCAGCTGAGTTTGGGAATCACTGCTCTAGGATGTCCATAGCTGGAGGTAATTTTTAACTAAATAGCACTGGAAACTAATCAAGGTCTGGCCTGCTTAATATTTGGTTGCAGGTCTGCCAAGAATTAGCAAAGGCTGTGAGCTATATTTTAGAGGACTACATACAATATTACCTCCCTATATCTATTAGATATCCTTTTTAGAAATTTGCTAGGTCCTCCAGTACTTCTGGAGGATGCACACTATAGAATCACCTGGAGGATCTTAAAATTTCTAGAGACAACATATTTTGTTGGATGCAATTAGGTGAAGCCATGGTACCAAGTATGCATGTAGGCACACAAAGACCCTGCAATAACAGTTACCAGGTTTCTGTCCAAGGAGAATTTCCAAGAAAAGGGGGCATCATATTTTAAAAAATATCAAGTGCCTTGGTTGTTGTAAATTAAAATTTCTTTTTTTAAAAAAAACCCCTACTTTCAAGTATGTTGATTTTGTTTCGAAAATCTCTGAAATCTGTGTAAAGTACTCCAGCTTGTTTCTGGTTTTAAGTGCACCCAATATACTTCTACTATAAACACACCCTAAGATAAATTTTACATAGGTTTCAAAAGCCTTATCTAGCATTGTGAAATCAGAGGAATAACTGGGGTTTTATAGGTTGGGTGGGGGAATTACCCAACACCAATATTTTGGTCTCGCATGATTTTAATCATGCACAGAGACACTTAAAACATGATTTAGTGCATTTAGAAAATGTTCTGCAAAATATATTGGTAACACTCATGTTTTTCTAATTTTTGGAATATTGTACAATCTTTTTCATTCAGAATACTTACTTGTAAGACAATTTCAGCTCTTATCAAAAGAGTAAATAGAAGATTGTTCATTATTCATTCCATAAAAACATACAGACTTGTGAAAAACAGCAAGATTTCTTACATTCATTCAGTGTTATCAATTAACAAATAAAATACTAGTGCTTGTACCAAAAGACACAGGCACCACAATAATAGATCTTGTTTCAAATTTAAATTCTGAAGTCCTATTTATACCTTATATTTCTAACAAGGGAATCTTTTATATATACACACAATGCACAAATGGAGAATGATGTACAAAACTGGGATTAAGTATTTGTAAAGGAAAGAACAGCATTGGAAGTCTTTGCACAATTTTGTCATTAAGAAATAAAATTTACTTCAATCACATAAGCTTTTGTTTCACTGAGATAGGCTTCTCTTCCATTTTCGTTTAATGACAATAAAGCTAATGTAAAAGATTCCAACAAGGTGAATATCATATTACTGAGACATATCTTGAAGCTTTCTTGAAGATATCAATAACGTATTCCATATAAGTAACGTATGGCCTCTCTCAGACTGAGATTTATATTGGACACATTAAAATAACTCTTATCTCAATAGTTATTTGAAAGTAGATCTGTATGGGGTTTTCCAGGACAAAGCTGCTTTCTGATTATTGTAGGAAATGATAAAATTTATTTTATTATTTTATTTATATTTATAGCATGCCTTCTCTCCAAGTGACTTACTGTTATCAAGACCTTTCTTTGATAGATCATAGTTATCAAATGATGGGAATTGCCTTGGAAAGGTGAACTTCTCCTCTCTGAAACACTGGTTCACACAAGCTTTATCAGTCTATCTGCATTTCTTCCTGTGCTTGCAGTTATCTTTCTACTGTTGCCAGCTTCCTGTTTACTTAAAACTCTGCTTTCCAGGTGAAGAACTCCAGGAAATGGAGATACCAATAGATCAGTACAATTACTGACATATTGTCCTGGTAGAGCTGGAGTATCAATATGTTGTTAGTTAAATGGTTGGAGAACTTCATTTCTATGAAACAAATTTTACTCACCAGGTCACACACCCCCCCCCCCTCGCTTTACCTTCTTAGACAAGGAATGGGAATGTTACAAAGGCTATAAAAGTGGCCCTCTCTTCCCTCCCATCATGCCACTATTAGCTCTATTCCTAAACCAAATATCAAAGGCCTTTCTATATGCAGAGTTCACTCGTACTCATAGGAGGAGAAGCATGATTATGGTGAGTTCATATTGATGAAAAACCAAGTGTGGAGAGAAGATGACCTCAGGTTGCTATGCTGCAAAACAGCACTCATGTACATCTCTTTATCCTGTTTGCCATGAGGAGACCAAAGTATTTAATTGATCTGGAACAAATCAACTATTTTTCTATTAAATCCAGAACTATTGTTGTTTTCTACTGTTTTTACTTTATGTTGCTATGTTCATTATAAAAGTAAAACAAGTAAAATATAGTGATAGAAATATATAGAAAAAGTACACAATAAAGCCACAGAAGTAGAGCAAATTAAGCATAATCACTTGCTTCAACAAGCAAGTTTATTTTCATTTGAACAAGCACTGGTTTTAAACATACCTTTCTTCTCCTCCCAACTTTCCTCTTCCCTTGTCCACACTGACTATAGAAGAAACCCTGGTTTTCTAAACTACAGTCTCTTGTGATGTTTGAGCCAGGAACTATATTCCAGAGATTATATTTATCAGCATGGTTGAACAATGGAAAAACAACTGCTCAAAAGAGGTTAACCCTTTCAAAATCTCAATTGCTTTCAACTGGACATTCTTCCATTGAAATCAGTTTAAGTTGAAAGTGCTTAACTTTAGATGTTGTGTGGCCAATGTTCTTACAGTGTCCTTGTTAAACAGAGTGGATACAAATATGGTATCATTCATTGCTGTTTAAACAAGTTGATTTGTGTTTTTTAGATACTTCTAAAACAACTGTTCCCATAGATGACTTTTATATTATAATAACTCGGGTAACTACTTGTTGTTTTCTACTGTTTTTACTTTATGATGCTATGTTCATTATAAAAGTAAAACAAGTAAAATATAGTGATAGAAATATATAGAAAAAGTATATAACCCCATAAATCAAGTACTTATACTTTAGATCTGATTGAGAATTTTTAAAATGGTTATTCTGTACACCCAACTCATATGAAGATGTATATATGGATATATCCTTGCACATGCATACATAAAAACTGTTCTAAAATTTAAAATCCTTATTTTTTCAGACTGAAAGCCCATACAGATAAAATATATCATGAAATTTTCTCTCACAGAAAGATCCAAACTCACAATTTCCTATGAATCACAAAAAAGCAAATTATCCGTTAGGAAAATAACATTCACTAGAGTTCCAACATCTTGGAATAAAACTATGAATAAGAAGGCTCTTGCTTACGAGAGGTTGCTATTTTCTCTCAAGCTTTTTTTAAAGCTTAGTTTGGATGACAACACTCATAATTAAACTTAATAAGAAAAGAAAACTTTTGCACTTCTACATCACAATAGGGAAAGTATTGACATAATGGATAATGCTCAGAACTTATAAGCTCAGAACTTATACCCAAAATTTCATCAGAGGTACCCTATATATTCATGTATAAGTCTAGAAATTTTAGTTAAGAAATCAACCCAAAAACCCTGAGTGAACTTATCCACAGGTCAATATGAGTATTGTACCTTAACTCTTATATAAAAAGAGAACCATCTCTTTTTCTGGGGAGAGTGATAAAATGCAAGAGATTAGTCCATCTTGGGAGAATTTAAAACAATCACTAATCCCCTGTTCCCGCTCTACCATGGTGTCACTTCTGGTCATTTTTAATGCTTGGGCAGGAAAATGGTGGCGGAGGCCAGGGGTGACTGGCCCCCTGAATCGGCACTGGTGCATTCTCCTGTCTGCAGAATAACACTCAAGTTATCTACAGGTCATATCAAAATCTATAATTTTGACCCCAAAATCTGCTGTTGACTTATACATGAACATATATGGTATAACAGAAGTAGGAAAAACCAGTACCCATATCCTCTCCCCCAAGAAATCATCATACATACATACATACATACATAAAGAAATGTTTCTTCAGTTACTTACAACAATGTGTGCTGGAGATGGAGACCTAGCATCCTTGAGAGCTTGCCTACTCTGTAGGCTCCCTGCCTGAACATCAAGCAGTGGCCATTTCATCTGGAGATACTGGATGAAGGGAACAAAATGGGAAAAAAGAAAAATGAGTTCATAAAATAAAGGCAAAAGTTTTTGAAAATTAAACAAACATTAGGCAGCATAGTGAAGGAGGTGAAACTCTGATGTATGCAACAAACTCAAGCGAAAAACCAAACAAATCCAGCAGAAGAATTTTCATTTGGTGATTGGATTTAACAAAAACACAAGGAAACAATTTCATACTATTTATTACAAAGGGGGATAAAAGGGCAATGTTATCTTCCACATAGGGAATGTTATAGTAAATCTCTGCAGAAATACTGCACAGAAATAACATGGGAAGGAATAAAATATTACCATAAATGAAGAAGCAGAAATAATCAGAACAGAACAATCCACCTAACGGTATACCTTCTTATTAAAGGCACTTGCTAATTTAGTATTAAGCCTAGTAATTATTTGTTCTAGTGAAAAATGGCTTAAAAATGATTGTGCTACTATTTCCTCATAAAATTGATGTTTCATAGCTGGTGGACATTATTACCACCGTTTTTTCTTTAAGGACCATGCTGCTTGAAATGGGGTGGCTCCGGTGTTCAGTTTCAGTTTCTGAAACCTGTAACTACAACTCTGTGCCATTTAACATACCATGAATAAATCAGCCATCACTTGCTACAGTGTACATCCTCAACAGGAAGCTGCAGTTAATTCTGCTTCCCTGACAGAGATGGGTTGTATCCACATATTTATCTCTCTCTTTTTTTAAAAAAAAATGTGCATCTGAACTAATCTATGTTAAAATTAAAAAAATGTGAGAGGCAGGTTGCGAGACTTGTCAGGGGACCAGAATTAGCTGCAGCTTGGTGTCAAACATATCACTGCTGGCAAACTCAGGCTTGCTATCATCAAACGTAAGACATCTTCCTGCATAATACTTATCTCCAAGCATTTCTCTATTGCATTTAAATCTGACTTTCCAGGATTCATATAAAATAGAGTATTATAGCCAGACACTTAAATGAGTGAAGTGGCCATCAACTATAAAGTACAATACGTACTAATGAGGGAAATCGTTCCTACATTTTTTGCTTTTAGGCTACAACTTTACTTGAAATAAGGACTAAAATTAAATGAATACAGGTTAGACAAAAGTAGATGTAAGTATTGACATTTCAATAGTTTTTCCGTTTAAACAATAATAAACATAAGCAGTTATATCAGGATGCTGCTCTCAAATACTGTTGTTATAATCTGAGTTCCAACACTCCAACAGAATCATTTCCTCCTTGTCCATCAACACGAGTTATAAAAGGGTCGGAGAACATGTGGCCCCATGACACCCAAGCAACCTCCCAGCCTTAAATGACTTTGCAGAAGTCCCTGGCTGGATTGCCCATGAAACTGAGACTCAGTAAACAATCCTGCTCATGATACACAAGCAGGAATAGGGTACAGCTCACTGCCTCCAACAATAGCAGCCAAGGGTTATTCTGGTTTCTGAGGTCAGTAGGCAGGTTTCAGAATTAGCACAGGAAACAGGTCCTACCAAGAAAGAATGTGTCCAATTTACCCAGCCCCTTTTCAGTCCAAATACCAGGGAATATTTTATATCAGTCTTTACTGGGTGAATAGTAGCTATCTCTGTCAAGCACACACAAATATATCCCAACACATGCACAAAACACACACACAAACGCAAACACACCATTAGCAGACCAGAGAGATGGCAAGGCTAAAATGATTTCATACATGCTAGACTTGCATCTGCCAGTTTTGTTGCTATAAGAAGGAGCATTCAAATCTTTAATTTACACTCTAAAGGAATATAGCCTACAAAAAATGCATAAATATGAGCAAGGCTTGGGAAACTTCAGGGGCTGAATCTCCTGGCTGGAAAAAATGAGGATGTTGAAGTCTGCAGCAGTTACTTTCCCAAGCTCTGAATGTGAACCCGTTCATCACATGTTTGACCTCTCAAGTAGAACGGCTGCTGCTAAAATGAGGCAGAAGTGACTATGAACTCCAGGGTTAAGGTGGGTGCAAAAAGTCTCGTTACTAAATAGAATGACATTTTATGCAGCTCACTAAACAGAATTTAAATGCGGAAGTACTTCAGTAAATGTCACACAATGGAATACATATTTACCAAGAAATGTAGCAAAGCATGCCAGGTTAGCAAAAATCGAAATTTGGTTGCCCCTCTTGCTTCTCAGAGACAAACTAATCAGATATGAGTCTAAATGTAACTTCAGCTGCCAAAACAATCTTACATTCATCCTTCTCAGAATCATTTTACATGAATAAGCACCAGGTTCTCTATTTGCTTTTCCAACACTATTTTTTAAAATAATCCCTTAAAAGGTGCAATTTTTCTTGCTTTCAACCCAATGCATTGGAATGAACAGAAATTATGGTATAGCAATAAAGAAGCAATAACACAACTTACACATTGTGTCAGCTTTATTCTAGTTCTGTCCATTATTTGGCATGGGAGGAGATGACAATTTTCTGCACACGCACATGTAACCTCCCCCCCCCATACACACACACACATATGGTTCTCCTCCTCCTTCTTTGCTAATTAAGAAACTGGAGAGTAGTGGTGGTGACAATGACAATGCAGGCAAGGGACATTTCATTTGCACCCAGCCTGATATCCCAAATTCCCCTAGAAGGCAGTCTTCCCTCCCATAACTGGAATGGACAACTCTGGAAAGAAAAATTGGAAGTGGGGGGGAGGGGGCTGTGGAAAGAGGTGGCAGCAGGTGAAGGACTGTTCAATAGCCTTTCCTCATCACCAGATCAGACTAGTCTAACCCAGCTGCCTGGTGTGCTGTTGTCCACCTTACCCTCCCTTCCCTCTTGCTGCTCTGCTCTGGGCTTCTTTCTGGGAGAAAAGGAGGTGTCCATGACTGCCACTGCAGCCCCCTTTCTTTGCTTACCCAGCAGTCTTGCCAGACCGAGGGCCAACAGGCACCACCAAACATCACATTCCACCAGTGACTACAGAGAATGGACACCAAAGATAACTGCTCTGCCTGCCTCCTCCTCACTGCAGTGGCCATGTGTCAGACTATGTGTATGCCCATTAAGCCTTCACAGCCCCCCATGAAGACACTGCAGTCCCTCCAGGAGCCTACAGACCACTGGCTTAAACTGCAAAAAAATGACCCTTAAAAAAGAATAAAAGCTGAGGTGTTCAAAATATATTTTGAATTTGGAATTCCAATCCATTCTCACACTAAACAATGTAACGCCGATATGATAACAACATAAAAGTTCATTATGTCAAAGACCAAGACTATGCTCAGAGATGTCTGTTAATCCTTTGTCATACTTTACTGTTACTCTTTAAGATCTGACAGGGGCTGAGTTCCGTGAAGGGTTCTGAAGGGAAGGGGAGGTGCCAGAACCAAGGGCAGGCAGGGAAAAATATAGCATTATATCAGGTGATGGAAGAAGCGGGTTTGTTTAAAACTAGATCCGAACTGTGCAATTCTAAAATAACTCAGCCAATAATAGCAATGGAGAGGATGTGTTATGAAGGGCAGGAGGCTAGTTCCGAGGTTGGAGGGAAGCCTATAATGGTGTTCCTGGGCAGAAGTGTAGGCAGGAAGGGGGGGGTGGACGCAAGAGGGTTCTTGCTGCTCCCAGGCCATCTCAGAATGCAGTTAATCAGGTTGAAACTGCTGCTGTTTAACACTATCTCAGTAAATGGCAAAAGAACTACCATCCAGGATTTGATCTGGGATGAGCATTCTGACCTGGCCTGTATCACAGAAACCTGCTTGGATGAAGCAGGGGGAGGGGGATGTCAACCTAACCCAACTCTGCCCACCACCTGCGTTGGTGGAAATCTTACAGCAAATCTCACTGAGCATGATCTAGAGCTTATTTAAGAACCTATTCTAAGGCAATGAAGACAAACACAGAAATCTTTCGCAGCTGTCAACATCGCATTTGCAAAGGACCGCCCAGCTAAGCTGTTCTGAGTGGTCAGAGGCATGTTACACCCTGTCCCTTAAGGCAGGGAACCCAGACTGCTGGAAAGCTCATTGTGAAAATTTTGCAAGGTTTTCTGCAAATAAAGTCAATCAGATGAGTTCCGAATTAGATTCCAGTGTTGATGCAGACTCCAATGATGTAATCTGGGCACCTGCTTGTCCTATTTTATTGCATGCTTTTCAATCTATCTTGCCTGATGACATGGACAAGATCTTGGAAGAAATGAGGGTGACCACTTGCATTCTTGACCCTTGCCCATTTTGGCAGGCCAGAGGCAGACTAGCAGAGTGGGTGAAGATGCAGGTGAATGTCTCCTTAGTCCAAGGCAAAATTCCACCTAGCCTTAAGGAGGCATTACTTAAAAAAAAAACAGCACTGGATCCCACTGAACCAATCAATTATCGGCCAGTTTTGAATCTCCCCCTTTTGGGTAAGGTTTTGGGGAAGGCGATGGCTTCTCAGCTCCAGAGTTTCTTGGAAGAACCAATTATCTAGATCCATTTCAATCTGGTTTCAGATCTGGTTATGGAACTGAAACAGCATTGGTCACCTTGGTAGGTGATCTACGAAGAGAGCTAGATGGGAGAGTGTGACCCTGTTGGTTCTCATGGACTTCTCAGCAGCGTTGGATACCATTGACCATGGTATCCTTCTGGGTCATCTTGCTGGGATGGGATTAGGAGGCACTGTTCTACAGTGGCTCCGTTCCATTGTAGAGGATTGTATCCAGAAGGTGGTGCTGGGTGACTCCAGTTCAACCCCCTAGCCATTGGCCTGTGGGGTCCCTCAGAGTTCTATTCTGTCACCCATGCTATTTAACATTTACATGAAACTGCTGGGAGAGATCATCTGGAGTTTTGGAGTTCGATGCCATATTTATTAAGATGACACCTATCTCTATTACTTCTTTCCACCAAAAGCCAAGGATGCCATTCTGATCCTCAACCGGTGCCTGTAATGGACTAGATGAGGACAAATAGATTGAAGCTAAATCCTGACAAGCAGAGGTCAGTCATAACGCAGAT